ATTTATATTGACAGTGGTAGTAGAATAAATTCCATTGTCATAAAGGTACTGCATCAGGATATAGGAGGCAAAAAAATTGTCGAAAGCTACGTGCGCTGGAACTTTCTCGTCAATTAGAGTTTTTGTCAAGGATTTGACAACGTTAGCACCCAGACCTAACTCTGGTGTATTGTTTTCATTTTTACTAGTGTAAATCTGGAATTCAAATACATAACCAGTAGAACTATCCGCACGTACCCAAACCTTGAATTCCCTTTTGATAGGTTTAGCGGGCATGTACTGTTTCAAAGATGATATATATACCCTTGAATCGTATCATTGCTTCGTCTATGCTCTGGGAATTTGTTTGTTTCGCTTCTCTTTGACAAGCAGTGTTCAGCATTTCCAAGACAGGCCGAACTTTATATAATTTGTCATATTCACGACTTGTTTTAGCAGGAGTTTTGGAATTATCATTTAGGTGAACGTTTTCTAAAATTTTTTTTGAACCTTTTGCAAGTCATTACTTGTGCTATTTCGTAGACTCTAAAAAATGGATCACTAGACCAGTATAGATCTATAGATGGTAAAACATAGAATACCCGTCAAAATAATGATTCCCAAAAAAGCATCAATATCAGGCTTTCTAACCCGTTCCCAATGTAAAGTCGCTTTCTGAGAGGCATACAAATTAGTTTGCTCAATTATGAGATTAGTTACTTCTTCAGAAAAATATCTCGAAAAATAAGCCATTGGGGACGTCCTGCTTGGAAAGAAAACTTTAAGTTTCAAGGTAACTTCATCAAATTTATCTGCATTTGCCCTGTCCGGCCACATACTACCTTTTTTCCAGTCATTGTCATTGTCATCATATGAGGAAGAGTCAGCGGAAGATTCCGAAATAGTTCGAGATACTACTTGTGAAGGGCGGACGGGTCGCAATATTTCCTCGTCTTCGCTATGGCTATGTTCTATATTAGGTATTCCTATATTAGGATCAACATTTTCTCTCATTTCACCATCACTAGAAGAAAGAAAACTCACAGGACTGCGTGTTGATGGTCCAGGCGTTGGTCTTCCTCGATTTTGAATAATATTGCGATCCTCTGACATCACACGTAAATCTAGATCGATTTCTACGCCATCTTCGCCCTCGTACTCATCTTCTGATTCGTCTGGATTATCAGGAAGCCCATACATTCGCTCCAGCTCATTCTCAATATCATCATCATTTAGGTATGCCTGGAATACAAACAGGCAATGGCATTTATACTGCCACCAATACATAACAGTGAGCGGGTAGTGGCATATATACTGCCACCGATAAAAATTGAAATAAAACAAGTTACAATACGTTCAGAGTCGAAATCGCACGCAAAACATTAGCAAAATACATACAAAACAATGATCAATGAGTTATTTTACAATTATAACCCTTTGGTTAAGAAGATCTAACTGGATGAAAATTTCCATCAGACAAACACCACTTTCACACAATTATGGCTGACTTAGATTTGACAGCTTTGAAGTATCTGTCAATGAGACACTCATTTATGACGTAAAAAAGATCAATATTACCATCTGTGAAAAATAAAAAGACCGTCAACGATACTGACAGTAATAAAAAAATAGTTTAGTTGGTGGCACGTATACTACCTTTACCTTATAAAGGGTAGAAAACTTTGGAATCAGTGAAGAAATAACTAAAGGCATGTTAGTAAAATAAGATTCAAAAGTGTTTGCTACATCTACATCATTACAAATGAGTTGGTTGTCAATTTTTAAATTAATTTGAGATTCTCTTATTTTTTTATTTCTAATTTCTTTATTAATAATTTTCCAAGTAGTTTTAGCCTTGTTCCCCGAAGATTTAATTGTTTGTCGCAAATGTAATGCTTTCGCTTTATTACAAACTATTCTGAATATTTTAGAATAGGATCTTACATATTGTATAGGTTCTTTATTATGATTATATTTTTAATACTATATAGGTCATATAACTTTCTACTCCTATGTATACCCACAGTCAACAACTTCATCTGTTTGTAACTAGTTATAATTTTTGTTTTAAAAGTTTTGTTAAACTCAATCTCTAAAATTTGAAAGAGTCTATTATATAATAAGTCTGGATGATTTTGATTTATGTCAAGAATAGGCACTAGTAATTTAATATTGTTATTGAATTGTCTTAAACCTTTGTGTAACCTTTTGAGTTTTTTTAATTCTATTATGTTTACATGCAACTAATTGTCCACAATGATCAGATGTTCATTTGCTCATGATAGACATTTCTATTACCTCACAATTTGAAAACACACTATCTAAACACTTAGAAGTTGTTTCTGTTATTCTAGTAGGTTCATGAAATAAATGTAAATAAATCAAAAGAATAAAATAAGTTAATAAGCTTGTTTCTTAGAGTGTTAAATTCCAGTAAATTAATAGGTACTGAAATCGCCACAAACAACTACAAATTTTTATATGCACATATATGTCTAAGAACTTCTTCCACTTTTGCTTCAAATGTTTCAAAGTCACCACATGGCGGTCTGTATACGCAAACAATAATATGTCGCTCAAGTTCCACGCAGGATAATTCTATAATACGTTCCACAGAAAATACCTCAATGTCTTTTCATTCCTTACATTTAATATCGTTACGAGTCAATATTAATGAACCACAATGTATGGCGAAATTTGGGATAAATGCACTTATCATATTATAATTCAAGACATTAACAAATGATTCATTATTCTTTAGCCAATGTTCTGTTAAGCATAATACATGAATATGGTAATGATTAAGAAATAATTTGACTTCTAATTCCTTGCCAGCCAGGCCTTGAACGTTTTGATGACTAACATTAAGTTTTAACACCTGAGCCCCTGTCTTATTAAAAAGGTTAAATCATTAGTCGGTAACTTAATAGCATTTAAACTAATGGATTGGATTACATTTTTTATCATTGGGTTTTGTATATTGTAAGCAAATATTTTTTTAGGTGAAGGAGAATTAATGATTTTGGTTTTACTATTATAATGTATGTTACATACAGAATTTAAATTATTTACATTTACATTGTTCTGTTTCATTTCAGAATCATAAAATAATTCTTTTGATGAGGGTGAAACTATACAGTCATTCATATGCGTTTTTGTCAATGATTCAAACCTGTCCCTGTTATAATTACATATGTCAATCAGTTTGTCAGTGGCTAAAATATGCTCATCTATTTGTTTCAGGGCTGATTGGTATTTTTGACTTATGGAATTAAGTGAACTAGTTAAATGATGAATCTCATTTAGTAATTGTTGAATGTCAGAATTATATAATAATTCATTTTGTTCATGCTTAAACCTACAATTTCTTAGTTGTTCAATTAGTTGTAATCTTTCTTTTCTTAATTTAAATATATCAGACGTTGAATTATGTTTTTTTAGTAATTTTTGCTAACATTTAATTAATTTCACAATTTTAATATATTTTTTATATTTTTTGCCACTATTTACAAATGTCTTTTTAGCACTGACCTGGTCTTATTTCTGCATTTCCAACTGAGACATAGTTTTATGAGCTTCAGATAGACTCATCTCCAGCTCCGTTATGCGATACAACGCCTTTTCATGCACATCACTACACTGAGAAAAAGAATTCACAGTTTCTTGAAGCCTATTTCGCTGTTCCAGAATGTCCATATGCTGTTGGTGAAGAATAGATAATTCATTTTTTAGGTCTGAGTTTTTATTAATAACTTTACCTATTTCAATCTCATTATCCTCTCGTTCCTGAAGCAGCTGGTCACATAAGTTTTTGGAAAACTTAAGTTCCTGAAGTGTTAATCGCAGCTTGTTCTCCAAATTCTTAGAATTTGCTTTTCGAGTTAGCATTTTGTATGTGCTAATTTAGTTTACAAAGAATGTTTATTTTAAATGTTACATGACATAAAAAGTGGATCATTTACCGCATACACTTTTTTTTTAATGAAAAGGTCATATTATGGGTAGTAAGTATGCGTCGCTTACGCATCGTTAATGTGATTTCTTCTTTCGAGAAAAGTTACTTTACATGGATTGATTATTATTTAAATACATAGACAACAATTTAAACATTTGATTAAATTAAAATTTAAGGTTTAACACTAGTATGAATCAATTAAATTTAAAATTAAACATCATCCATTTGCGTGGCGGCCATCTTGCATTTCTCACAAACATAATAATATACATAACCATTGAGTTATATGTACTACAAACTAGAGAAGCCTTTCTAAACAAAAAATGTGTGCTACTCTATAGGCTGCTGGACACGGGTAGAGTAAACGGTAGAATAGAGCGGTAGAGTTCTAACTATCCTACTTACTATACTTATGTAGCCACCGCTGGTAGAGTAGAGTACTGAAATTTGGTAGAGTAGAGTAGGCTAGCAACGTGGGAGAGTTACTCTACCACTTTCCTTCCCCCACCCCGGCGTCCACTCTACTCTACCGAGTACTCGACCTTGTAAACGGTTAGTAGAGTAACTAGTTTAGACTTGTCTACAAAAGGCACATGGCATTGTTTACTAAAGTTGTACGCAGTTTTTTTAGTAGTAGTGATTTATGAAAAAAATATCATAAAGTGGGCTGAATCAGAAACTTTAAAACTAGTGGAGCTTTACGTGGAGTTTCCGTGTATCTGGGATATAAGCCACCGTGATTATAAAGATAAGAACAAAAGGAATGCGGCCTATGAATATATTATTCGTGCAATGAGCAAGGAAAACTTTGGAGTTTCTGAATTAAAACAAAAAATCAAAAACCTCCGATGTACTTATAACCAAGAACGAATGAAAATAAAAAAATCTCAAAAGTCTGGCAGTGGAAGTAACGAAGTTTACGTGCCTTCTTTAAAATGGTACTATGTAATGGATACATTATTAAAATCTATTACACGAAGCACCGAAACTTAGGATAACTTTGAAGGAACAATACAATCTGAGGTACGTACCTAGTGTTTATTAAAACAAAATTTTATTACATTATTTAGGATATATGACGATATTGCCAGGGTACAGCTCCATCGTTGTTGAAATAGTCTTTCATTCGGTCACGTATTCTCTTAGCTAAATTGGTGCTTTGAATACTCCTAAATCTCTCAAGATTACGCAATTCTTCAATCTCGGTTCTCCAACTACCGGGTATAATTTCTCCAGTATGTATATTTTCTTGATCGACCGCACTTGCTAGCAAATAAGAAGGCGATGATTCACGCAGCCAGTTGTGAATAGAACAGGCTGCAAACACAAGTTTGCGTATTGTGGAAGGCTTCAAATCTATTTTTCCATCAAATATCAAAAACCTGCTCATCAAAATACCGAATGCATTCTCCACAATTCTTCTTGCTCGGCTCAGACGATAGTTAAAATTTTTTTCAGGTATTGTCAAAGGACCTCTGTAAGTTTTATATGGTTTTAATAAGCATGGCTTTAATGGAAAAGCATCATCACCAAGTAGGAATAATCCTTCAGGCAAAAATCCTCTTTCTAATTCATCTGAAATCGGGCAATTTTTAAAAATAACACCATCTGATTGTGATCCTTCGGCACTAACATTAATGTACAGAAACTTGTAGTTAAAGTCGACAACTGCCATAAACACAATACTATTCGAGCCCTTGTAGCCGAAATATTCGCTGCCACAATTTGGAAGGGCTAGTATCAAAATATGTTTGCCGTCGATGGCACCACAACAGTTTGGAAAGTTCCAATGAGTTTCAAATCCACTACTTATTGTTTTCCAGTTGTTTTCTGAAGCTGGTACCTGCAATCAAAAGAAAATAACCTAATTATATTCTTTAATTACAGAATGCAATATTAGAAAACGAAACTGAAGTCTCAACAAATGCACATGATCCACAGTCATCGTCGGTCTCAATAAATGACTCACAAGAGCCAACAACCAGTACTGCACAAAATATTGAAGATTCATAGTCAGCGCCAATTCAGATAGCTCCAACATTAAAAGGCAAGGGAAAAGGAAAGACATCCAAAACTAAGAATTTACAGATTCTTGCTTCGGTTGTTAATGAAGTACGCAAAGTGCACGATAGTTTACGCAGTAGTAACGACATAATTACAACTCCCGTTGGAGCTCAAAGTGCCAACAGTGCGTTTGGCTCATATGTAGCTTTAATATTGGACAAAATGTCATTCGAACAATCTTTACTGGCACAAAGTGAAATACAAGCAATTTTGGTCCGGTTTTTAATACCGCCTTCGACCTCAAACACATCTAACGCAAGTACACCCTCAGTTATGACTCCCCGACCGCAACGCGAACAGCATAATGTTTACGTACCGGAAACCCAAGATGCTTCTCAGTTAGTCTTGCAGAATGATGTAGTTTATATACAAGAAACTCAAGATCCTTCTCAATCAATCTTGCAAACTGGTGGCAATGTTGAAACTCAAGATGTTTCACAATTTTACTTACAAAGTGAAGTTGATGATCAAGAAACCCAAGAAGCAACTCAATCAATCTTATCCCAAGCTTAGAATTCTACAAATATTTAGTCTAAGTTCAAATACCGATACGTGTTTTTCCTTCTTTTTTTTTCTTATTATAAAGTTACGTTTACGAATTTATCTTTTATTATTAAATTGCTTACACTTATTGTGCGTCACCACAGCGAAACACACAGAAATAGATATGTTTTTAAGCACCTAATTTCAACTATTTATCGACTAAATATCTGCATAGATTGCCGACTTGCCATTTGTGGGTATGTGAGTCGATGTGGTGAAGCACACCAATAATATTGACTCCAGCTGATAAAAAAAACTTACCTTGATACATTCATACAGGCTTTCGTAAATGGCGTCACAAACTTCAGGAATGAATTTCGAAATACTGCATTTAGACACTCTGTAATGATTCTGCAATGACCGGTAGCTATCTCCTGTAGCTAGGAAATTTAAAGTTATTTCTAATTTTATTCGTGGTGTTAATGCCATCCTCAATGTAGTATGTTGTTTCTTAATTTTCGGACCGACCTTTTTGAGCAAATCCTCAAATATTTCTGGCGTCATCCTCATAGTTAGTTTATATTCTTTTACGTCCTCTGCTGCTAACTCTTTCAAAAGTAGTGCTGAAGCCCCTCGCTCATCCCTGCTCAATATCCAATTTCTTGTCCATATTCTCTTTTTCCTATTTTTCTCTTCTTCAAGAGCCTTCGCTGCCATCTTCAATAATAAATCTGTTAAGTTTATTAGAGGGTTCCTTACTATTTCTCGATGAGTCGAATCGACGTTCATTGTTCTAGCGTTTCTTAACGAGTGACTTAAAAGCTTTACTCTACAAACAAAATGAAAATTTACATGTAGACAGTTACTCTACTAAAACTGGTAGAGTACTGAGAACCGCTAGGGTAGTATGCTAGTTCACTCTACTGTTTACTCTACCCGTGTCCAGCAGCCTTAAGCGCGATGCGCCAGCGCGGTCAGTTTATATAAAGAAATATATTTTTTCATGATTTTTTCTTTTGTAATATTACGATATTATTACCCATTTATTCACTTGAACAACAAATAATTTTACTTACAGTCAAGTCTGGCAACTTTACCAATGGAAGGTAACTTTGCCATCAGTGGTGTACTGGTACAAAAATAAGGTTTAAACGTAACGTTTTTTAAAATTTGTCATTTTTTGTATGAAAATTTAATAACTAATTAACAGCATCATTTTCAATATATATAAATTTTGACATTTTATTTTACCGTGAAATTGTGCCGGCGACTTAAACACCTTTTTCAGTGCTCCAGAACTTTTGTGGATTTTAGTTGAGATACTGAATGTACGTACCTATATATTTGTAATAACGTAATATTAATGGTTAGGAAATGTAATAATTCATTTTTAATATTGTAGTCTTAATATTTGTCTATAAAACTAACTTGGCAAAGTTACCATACTAGTGATTTCACGATGTGACGGTTACTTTGCCATGTTTTGCTACGGGCCTGACGGAATCCCCCCAATTGTGCTGAGGACGTGTGCTCCGGAGTTGGCACCGGTTCTAACGCGTCTTTTCCGGTACTCCTACTCCCTAGGCGTAGTCCCGAAATCATGGAAGACAGCTTTTGTCCACCCGATCCCTAAAAAAGGCGACCGCTCAGACCCGTCCAACTACAGGCCTATCGCCATCACCCCCTTGTTCTCCAAAATAATGGAATCCATTATTAACTGCCAGCTCATCCGGTACCTTGAGGATCATCAGCTGATTAGTGACCGCCAATACGGTTTTCGTCGGGGTCGATCAGCTGGTGATCTTCTGGTCTACCTGACCCATAGATGGGCGGAGGCAGTAGAGTCCAAGGGGGAGGCGTTGGCCGTTAGTCTGGACATTGCGAAGGCCTTCGATCGGGTTTGGCACAAAGCGCTTCTTTCGAAGCTCCCTTCCTATGGGCTTCCCGAGAAATTATGCAATTGGATCACCAGCTTTCTTGCAGATCGGAGCATCAAGGTCGTTGTAGACGGTGCATGCTCCGACTACAAGCCTATTAACGCTGGTGTTCCACAAGGCTGCGTGCTATCACCAACGCTGTTTCTTCTGCATATCAATGATATGTTGCAAGCCGGTAGCATTCATTGCTATGCGGATGACAGCACTGGTGATGCTCTATACACCGGCCGTGCCAATATTTCTCGGGAAAACGTCACTGAGTACCGGAACAAACTTGTGTCTGAAGTCGAGTCTTTGCTGGACAAAGTCTCGGATTGGGGGCGACTAAATCTAGTCCAGTTTAATCCTCAGAAGACACAAGTTTGCGCGTTTACCGCTAAAAAGAACCCCTTTGTCGTATCTCCTCAGTTTCAAGGTACTCCCCTTGTTGCCTCAGCCAGTATCGGAATCCTCGGCGTCGACATATCGAGTAGCGTGCAGTTTCGTGGTCACTTGGAAGAAAAGGCCAAATTGGCCTCTAAAAAGCTTGGCGTGCTCAGTAGAGCGGGACAGTATTTCATGCCGGCTCAACGCCTGCAACTTTACAAGGCGCAGGTTCGGCCTCACATGGAATACTGTTCCCATCTCTGGGCTGGGGCTCCCCAGTGCCAGCTCCTTCCACTTGACCGCATCCAGCGCAGAGCGGCTCGAATCGTCGACGACCGAGTCCTTTCCGATCGGCTCGACTCATTGGCACTGCGAAGAGATGTTGCATCTCTTAGCATTTTCTTTCGCATTTACCATGGGGAGTGCTCTGAGGAATTGTTTGGATTAATCCCAGCCGCCAAATTTCACGAACGCACATCGCGGCAGAACTCCCGATACCATCCACACCATCTGGATGATTGGCGGTCCACCACTGTGCGATTTAGAAGATGTTTTCTTCCTCGCACAACTTCCTTGTGGAATAGTTTACCACCAGCGATTTTTCCGGACCGATACGACTTAGGGACCTTCAAGAAAAGAGCCTACTCCTTTTTAAAAGGCCGGCAACGTATCTGCAATTCCCCTGGTGTTGCGGTTGTTCATGGGCGGCGGTAGTCACTTACCATCAGGTGAGCCGCATGCTCGTTTGCCCCCCTCTCCTATAAAAAAAAAAAAAACCAGGGGTTGTCACTTTTAGTTTATATTTGACCCGACTATGGCGATTCAAATTATCAATCTATGTATGTATGTTTGTATAGATGTTTCGCCGTGGCAGACTATTGGACCGATTTTTATTAAAAGAAAAAGACAAGAAAAGAGAAATATATATTATTTTACTGCGTTGTCGGGTATTAATAATATTATTACTTTTTAGTATTTTTCATATTTTCAACTTAGAGTATTAATATAATTTGCACGTAAAGAACAGTGTCATTTTAATCGCGTAATTATACCTTAACTAGTTTAGCTATTGTTGGAAATCAAAATTTAGGTAGTTTATAAAAAAAATCCTGATCTTATTAAATGATATCACTTTAGGAACATGGGTCGCCAAAGTAGACGTAAATTAGGAAGTAGAACATATAAAATTTACTCAGAAGAAATGCTGAATGTCGCCGTCAACTTAGTATTAACAAAAGAGATATCGTCTATGGAAGCGGAAAAGCGATTTTACATACCAAGACGTACAATAGAAAATAAAGTTAAAGGGCTTCATATGCTTTCGCCTGGTGCACCGCAGAGATTAAGTGAATCTGAAGAAAAAGACATTGTTAAAGTTTTCATTGTGGCAAGTGAGTTCGGATGACCAGTAGTAGTTAGTGGCAGTCCAAGTAGCCAATATAGAAATAGATTCATGTTTTATGTATTGACTCAACTGCACAAAGAATTTGTTGCGCTCCGTTTAGTATCGTGGAATTGCACACGTGGTAGAGCCATGCTGCAGCTATATTATGGTTGTAGCACGAATGGGTCGGCTCGAACGGGGAAGGACCACGCTCTCACAGAATACCAGCGTAAAATAGCAGCTTAACGCTGCTGTGTTTCGTATGGTGAGTTGCAGAGAACCGGAGACCCTTTTTACTAGAAACGGGGAATTCTATCTTAGTCCTCACGGGTGACAACGCATCTGCATCTTGATTCGTAATCAAGAATTTGTTGAGACATCATTTAGATCCACGGCATCATTTTCTTGAGAAATATTTTCAGGTGAATTTTCAGGCGGCATTGTGCTAGAATCATAGTTGAATGCAACTGTGCCTAGATCTCTTGGCGTTCTGTCTGGACTGCCACTTTCTAAATAAATGAGTATTGTAATAATAAAATGAATTAATAATACTACCCACGACTTCGCTCCCCGAGATCACCTTTATTATAATAGAAATAGCTTTTCGGACCCCAAAGTAAAGTAATGAATATACGTTTAAGAATTAGACCATTATTTCCAGTGATAACTTCATTCAACTTAATCTCTTTATAAAATAAGTAAAGACATGTAATACTTAAATCGTACTCGTCATCACTTAAAGATGAACTTAATAAAATTTTATTAAATACAATATTATGTACTTACTTTTTTGTTAGGTGTTTGACGGGACCCCCAAGCTCCAACATATTTAGAATTCTCTGCGCTCGATTGTTCATTCTGAAGAATATCGTAAATTATCACTGACTAAGCCTTTACACTTTAATTATTAAATTGAAACGCGAAACCGGTACAAAAATGTTAAAAATCATAACATCATGCTAATAAATGATTACACATTACTCTCCTTTTGAGTATTGATCAGTCTGGTAAAAAAAAATCTATCTAGGTACTTCAGGTTACATACAAGACGTTACAGAGTAATAAAATTTAAAAAAATCTATAATGCTATACATTCCAAAAACGGGCCGATTAGTAAATACCACTTTTGTGTATAATATTTTATTTATTTTTAATATTATTATGTATCAAAACATCATTAAACCAAAGCACTGACTTTTAGTTTTAAAATTTTAAAAAGTTTTTATCGAAAAATTTGTGCAAAAGAAACGTATTCCAAATACAGCAGTTTTGTTTATAAATTAATTGAATATTTGTATAAATTTTTAAGCAATGTTTATTTATAACTTACCTAGCTGTGGTTCCTGTGGAATTAAATCTTGTGCATAAACTCACCCACGCTTCATACTTCGCTTGATTTGTTGTACCGTCCAGGCTCGGTCAACATTGTATGGGCGGTAGTCTTGTGTACTTCTCGAACGATGAACGAATAGGAATCGTACCTTGGCACTGTACTAAAAGAAACGTTACCGAATGCTGATTGTTAATCGGTCTAACAGTTCCTTTCGTTCACCTACACTCGCAAGACGCCAACACCAAACCGTGCGTGTGAACGAGAACGACGCACGCAAACAAATCAGAATCGGTCAGTAGTCATTCAAGGTAGGCATGGCGATAAATAAAATATTGGATATAAGTTTAATTTTATAGCAAATAATTATTACAATGCTTATTTTTAGACATGTGAAGCATAATTTTTAATATAATATATCAAAAGAATACGTATTGATGTTTTTAAGGAATATTTTCATTCAAATAACATTGCTTTGTAAACCGCCATCTACTCCATTCTACAGGTATTAAAGTCATTTTATCGAATCAAAGTTAATTGACTCTCAAGGTGGTACGTAAAGAAGACTCTAGATGGCATAAATACGGCTAATTTAATATAAAATTATAAATTAGCAAGGTAAGAAATCGATCGTGGATTGTTTTGAATGGACTGAAATATGATAATTATTTCATTATGGTTGATTTTATATATTTAATAAATTTGTTGGGAGCTGTGGTAGCTCAGATCGTTAGCGCTCGCTATAAATTTCACAGTACGCGAGCAACCCGGGTTCGATCCCCGCTGGCACCAATGAAATTGTTAATTGCAATTTTAAGTGCTGATTTACCACGAACTCGGCAGTGAAGGAAAACATTGTGAGAAAACCTGCATGTCTGAGAAATAAGAAAAAAAAATCGAATTAAAGAAATTTGAAGTTATTTTTAACAACTACCTACTGTTCGCGATGGAAAAAAGTGATTGAAAAATAGTGATTAAAGAACAATATTTAAAGTGTACTTAGGAAAAGTATTAGTGACAAACCTAAGTGAAAGGTGCAATAGTGTAATTTTACAACATGTCTACAACCCTTAGTATTATAGTATATATATTATCATTTATAATAAGTTATTTTCTTAACTATTAGAAAACGATGCTCTCGTTTTGTAATAGTTAAGAAAATAACACTTATTTATACAAACAAAAAGTCGACCAATCAGAGCACGACACGTTATATAATATTCTGGGTATTTTTAATTATCTGCGTAATATTAAATCCCGAAAACTAAGATGTTTTTAAAAGTACGCCCGTCCGGAACAACTACTAAGGAGAGTTTTATATGCTCTTTGCATTGACTTTAAATAATTCATTTCTACTCATTGCGGCATTTGTTTTCACTCTATTTCATGCTATAGTTAAGCGGGACGCTTGATACTTTGTTATTGATTGTTTTGTCACTAAGATTTCATTTTATTTACTTGTTTTATTTTTTTAACTCTAATTTGATTTAAAGTTTAAATTTTCATTTTGATTTTGATACTTATTATTGAATTATCATTGCCGTTAATGATGTCTCAAGGAAGACCAAAGGGAAGCAACTTGTGGTTTCATATTAAGGAAGGGATAAACGAAGCTGTTTGCAATTATTGTTCGACGAAATTAAGTACAAAATGTGGTTCTCTAGGAAATCTAAAAAGACATATAGCCACTAAGCAACCGACCATATCTTTGAATATCGTACGGCAGCTTTCTGCTCTTGCAGAACAATAAAAAGGTAAAATCCAAACTCAGACACACCAGCCACATTTAGGCAGCCGCTTAGTGGGTCATCAATTACGAACTTCATTCGGCGACAACCATCTTCGCGAAAGAGCGAACAAATTGATAGGCAAGTGGTAGTTATGGTGACTAAGGGTCACCATTCATTAAGAATAGTAAAGGAACCAATAATTAATAAAAACTTATTGACTTAGTCTCTACCTGCCCGGGATACCAACTTCCAACAAGAAAAACGTTATCACAGGCGCTCATACCCAAATTGTACACAGAGGTTTTTGATTCATGTTTTCATAATTTAAAAGAAGCCTACGCAGTGTGCCTTTGCCCTGACGGATGGACATCCAGTGCTAACCAGAGTTATATAGCAGATACAGCTTACTATATTAATGAAAACAGATAAATGCAATCTGTTTTGTAAGGCTGTATTGACTACAGCGAGAGGCATACCAGTGCTAATTTGATTATATTTTTAAGACAAGTAATGGTATCGCACAAAATCTGTCAGTGATAACGCTGCTAACATTTTATTAGTTGTTAGGTTAGGAGAACGGCGATCAGTAGCCGCTTTGCTCATTTATTGAATTTATTAATACAGGGCGAAATAAAAACAATTGCTGATGTGATTGTTAAAGTTAAAGCTGTAGTGGAATTTTTGAAAGAAGTTCTGTGGCACAAACATAATCAGAAGTTGCCCAAAGGCAAATGAATTTGCCACTTTTAAAACTAAAGCAAGGATGTACAACGTATCCTGTTATGATATGCTAGAACGCATATTAAACATCAAAGATGCTGTTATCAGCACCATAACACTAACACGAAGTGACTTCAGCCTTCAGACTTTATGGAGACCATACACGCTAGGTTTTGCATGATTGTTTTAGCCGTGCATGCATAACCGACAGGCAAGTCCTAGCGTTTATGTGATTAAACTGTACAGTTATCGGTGCATGTACATGCAACCGAGCAAATATCGAAATTGATATTTTATGCCGCTCGGTTATGTTTGCGCACGAGCATAAACGAGCGTGTGTGCCGTCCGGCGAGCTTGCCTGCCACAGTTCTCAGTTTTTAATTGTTTGCGACGGCGGAAGATCGCGCGCACGCTTCATCGCGAAAATGGCGAGTCGCAAGTGCAATGCCACATTAGAAAAATTCATAGAAATTTATAAGTCGGAAGGTTGTCTTTGGCGCGTAAAGTGCAAAGAATATCACGACAGAGACAAACGATCGACAGCATACGAGAAATTGAAAACTAAGCTCAAGGAATTGGAGCCAACTGCTACAAAAGATGATGTGATTAAAAAAATTAATACGTTACGCAGTAACGTTAGACGAGAGGAAAAAAAATACGATGAATCTGTGAAGTCTGGAGCATCATCTAATGACATTTATAAAACAACACTGTGGTACTTTGAATTATTCGATTTTATTGGAGCTCAAGATGTTCCTCGCAGCTCGCGATCTAACATTTCGGAAATTGACGAGAATGATTCGAATATAAGTATAAATTAATGAATTATCTATTTTGGAATTTATAGATTAGGTACGGCCGACCACAAACAATTAAGTACCTACATTTTTTCATATCGTTTATATTACAATGAGATAGGGTAGGTACTCTCGACAACTTGTAACGCGTGATGTGTGGTCGTCTGTACCTAAGGTTTTTGCAACGTCGTTTATAGCTTTACAAAATGTAGGTATAGATTGTTACAGTATAAACTCTTAAGCGGTTTGGTTGCTCATTTATTCATAAAACATTATTATTTCATAAAAATAAAAGAAATTAGTCACATTTCAATGTAACTATCCTGCCAAGGTACTTTGCCTTCATTGACAAAGTAAGTTTGGTGTTCTAGTCTGACTTTTTTTGCATAATTCAGGACATTTCCTCGATTTTGTACTTGTAAATTTTCTACGTTTGAACGTGTGGCATCGTACCCCGTGGTAACAACAGTTCTATTATCCACATTTTCTCGATAAAAACATCTTGGAGGTGCATATGAATTAGGAGTGTGCTCCATTAGAAAGTTGTGCAAAACACATGTAGCCATCACCACTTTTTCTATATAGTTTGGTTCTAAATTGATCTGAGTATGGTAAATGCGAAATCTTGATGCTAGTATGCCAAAAGCGTTTTCAACTATTCTTCTTGCGCGAGACAATCTATAATTTAAAATTTTTTTTCGTAGCTTCTCAAATCCGCTTGACGATATGATTTCAGCATGTCAGGTCTCAACGGGAATGCATCATCAGCAACAAATACATATGGCAAACACCTTGAACTGTATTGAATCGGTTCGGAGTTTGGGAGATTTAAATGTATCATTTGTAACTTTTCAAAAAACGTTGTATTCTGCAAAACACCTCCGTCGGAAACTCTTCCATTTGTACCAAAATCTGCTAATAGAAATCGATATTTGGCATCAACTATTGCCATAAGAACCATGCTATGTCGTTCTTTGTAGTTGTAGTAATAAGATCCACTATCAGCAGTTGGCACTATGTCTATGTGTTTTCCATCTATGGCACCCAAGCAGTGAGGAAACTTCCATCTCTCTTCAAAAAGTTCTGCGGTTTCCTTCCATTTTCCCGATATAGGGTTATACGATGCTGACAACTCGACTGAAAATACAATAGCTACTACGGATAATGCTGCTGCAAATGTTAGTACAGGGAATACAGACGATATTAGGACACCTAAGAATACTCCATTACCTGCTACTAGACCGGGAAGAAAGAAAATGACATGCAAGAGAGCAAGATCACTTAACTACTGACATATTACTATCCGTGAAAGACCATTTTAAGCGTCCTGCTTCTGCTTCAGCAACAGAAGATCGTTACGATCTTTTGGGAAGATCTATCGCAATGAAATTAAGATCATTAGACAAGCGTCAACGGTTGATTGCGGAGAAGATAATTAATGACACCCTGTTCGATGCCGAGATGGGCAATCTGAATACCGAAGCAATTCAGAATCGTCGAAGTTTAACTTTTGTTTCTTCACCAACCTAGTCTCTCACGAACTCCAAGTCCTTCGCCCTCACTAGTTCAACAATATTATACACAACCGCATACTCATACCGCTTCTGTTGCGCCTCAAATACAACCCTGCGTATCTCCGATACAACAGTACAACACCCAAGAACAAAGGTACACGATTTCTCCTGCAACGCAAAGTCAGGCCTGCACATCTCCAATTCAACAATATAACACTCAACAACAAAGTACTTCTCCTGCACCACAACGTCAGCCCTCACCAGCACTACAAGAAGAATTTGACACACAACTAACAACAGGAACATTTTATTCAAATTTTAATTCACAAATGATTTAAATATGTAATTGGTTAATTAAAATATGTACCTACCTATTAAACTTGTCTAATGATTTGAATTTGGTTTTAATTATTTACTCACCTGTAGATAGTCCTCTTTTAGTGCTTCATAAATAGCATCGCATGTTTCTGGTATTATTCGGCCCAAAGCCTGAGGTGATATAATAGCAGAATATTTAAGACACTCGTATGTTCTTCCTGTTGCAAGAAATCTTAATGTTACTGCTAGTATCTCATGTGCTGATATTGCTTTCCTCATAACAGTGTCTTGTCTTTGTATTAACGGAGTAATCAATGATAATAGTTTCAAATAAATTTTTTCATCCATTCGTAAATAATTTTTGTAATCTGTAAGTGTAAATCTCAATTCATTTATCAAATTTACGTGGGAGAATTGCTTTCTTTTCAATAACCAGCGTTTATACCATTGAGTGCGATATCTTTTTCTTTTTCTGTTCTGCAGAACAAGTGTTAAGCCAAGTACAGCTATCACATCGTCGTCTATCTAGTATTATTGGCGTCCTACACACACCCTCACGTAGCTTAACTGAGAGTTCATGGCAAGACAGTGCATGCAAAACCTAACGTGTATGTGTAGTATAAAACTCGGTTATGCTTGTCGGTTTTGCATGCAAAGTTATAACCATCATGTAAACCCTAGCGTGTGTGGCCGCCATTAGAGTGGGAGTTAATTGAAAAAATTGTACCAACTCTTCAACCTTTCTACAAGGTTACCCAAGAAGTAAGCTCTGAAAAGCATGTAAGCTTATCAAAAGTAATAATATTTACTATGTTTTTATCTAAGCATATAGTAAATTTCTTGGCCCAAAATATTCAAAATCCTGAAATCCCCATTTTTATAAATAGACCAAAAAACAATATTAACGCCCGTTTTCATGATTTAGAGTCCCACGCATTATATGTTGATACAGCAATTTTGGATCCACGGTTCAAGCAAAAAACCTTTCGGACTCCAGAAGCATACAACAGAGCCATCGAAAACTTAAGACGCAGAGTTGCAGCAGTATAAGAGAGAGAGAGTGTGGTAGAAGGTCACTCTCGACATTAAGCACAGGTAGCTACCGGCACAACAAACAGTATTTGGGAAGAGTTCGATGCTGAAATGAGCCAGGTAACTCGTCCAGAAAGCTTTGTGGCTTGGTGATAAGAGAGTTAGACAAATTTCTGCATGAGGAAGCCCTTAACAGAAAAAACCATCTCCTCAAATGGTGGCACAGCCGTAAGAATATATACCCTCATTTTTATAAGTAAGGCCGGCCACATACATGCGGAATTCCGTTTCGAGATTCCGTTTCGATATTCCGATTCAGAATCCCGAACGCAGCGAGTCCATATAAAATCTATGACCCGCCACACACGTACGGTAGTTTTCCGTTCGATATTTTGCGGATCAAACGGGATTCCGTTTGTGTGTGGCCGACCGTTCGAAATTCCGAAACGGAATCTCGAAACGGAATTCCGTATGTATGTGGCGGGCCTTAGTCCTGAAAAGGCTTTGTATCCTAGCCACATAAGATTATTTATAATGTTATGGCATCGTAAGAGAATCCATTAGAAGTCTTTATTAAGGATAGATGTAGATGTCTATGGGTCACAGTAACCACTTACCATCAGGTGGACTGTGCTCGCTTGTCACCCGATCCTATAAAAAAAATCCACTACTCCATATCATCCCGTGGAAGTCATATGAGGCAACAGATGGAAATAAAACAGGAGCATTTCCCTGATTATCAAAAGAGTAAAAAACTGCAGTTGGCAACCCGACTGCCAAGCGTAGCAGCTATAATAAATATCCCGAATAATATCTAATATAAAGTAAGTAATAAATTAAATATAATAATTAATAAAAAATATCCTGATATAAAATAATGGTTTGCAATAAATTATAAAAACTAAATCTAAAAAGTTAAGAATAAAATATAACAAGCTTGTGTTTAACATTTTGTTATTGTAAATATAAGGTATAAGACACGAAATTAACTTGAAGATTATTTTTTCATTTTCAGGAGCGCTTACTGTAGAAACAGCCGTTACAGCGAATGTTGTATCCAATATAGACAAATCATTTGAATGTCTAAATATAGACACAGCGGACCTGCGGCGAGGAAAAATTCATGCGACGAATATGACGCTGAAAAGTCCTCACATGAGTTTTTTTTCTGACAAGATTTTTTTTAATACTATAAAGTTTGTTGGGTATTCACGTCAATCTCCATCACTAGATAGTTGGATCTGGACAATAAATGGTATAGAGCGACTATTTAATATGTCATAAGCTCACAATATAAAGAGTCAGGCCACAAGGCAAATGCAACAAGACCCTATTGAAAATTGGTTACATTCGTGGTATCAAACGCAAACCCTAGAACAGGGCAATTTGTGGCTGGACTTAAAACTTCAAATTTAAGTAGTTTGGCACATATATGGACCATTGGCAGTAATAACGAAAGAGATAATATGTTATGTTATAAATAATTTAAGTAAATTATATCACTCCCACAATCCACACTCATACATGCAGAGCTTCAATTGCATGCAATAAGTGAACTGCCTGATGTTCGTGTCATAAAACAAAATATTGACAAGGGCAATGCAGAAGTTCAGGCTTGTGCATGTGTGTGGATTTCTGGTTAAGCAATTGCCAGTAAATAAATGCGAAAAATGTAGATTTTTTTTGTATCCGACACTTGACAAATGTCACTTGTTTGTAGTGCCGAGAGTTTAACAGAAGCTTGTACTATGTAACTAAAGAAATGATAAATTATGTGAAACACTGTGCTTCCTTAATAAATTCATATTTAAGAAAAAATGGACACATGAGTTCATTGCAAAAAAAAATTTGTTGGAAATATCAAATAGTCTATAAATTTTGACATTGTCAAAGAAGGCACGATTCATTCAGAGAAAAATTTCAGTAAATTAACTAACAGTATATTAACTATATGATTAAAAGGTTTTGCATTGTTAAAAACCGTTTATTTGCCGAAGAAGCTTCAGCACTCTGCACACTGCTGCACTCGGCGAGAAATGAATATAATTTTGTTTGTGTAATGCAGGAGCTTATTTATCAATTAAGTTGTTTCTGATAAAAATATTGATATTTTGGTTATAAATAATAATAATATTGAAAATAGAACGTGTCACGATGTACTGGGATCGGTCAATTATCACAGACAGGTTTATAGTGGGAAATAAACCTGACATTGTGGTGGTAGACCGAACTACACGCAAGGCAATAATAGTGGATATCAGTGTTCCTCATTATGAGAATCTCGTGAAAGCAGAGAATGATAAAAAAAATTAAATAAAAAAAATAATAATAAAATAATTGGCTCATGAGATTGTCACATTTTGTGGGACATTTTTTGGGACATTGATTCTACTAATATTGTACAAATAGTTGTATCAGTCAATGGGATTATTGGTAAAAATATGAACGAGAGTCCATGTTAGGTTTGGGCAAATGGCTGAAGGGATTAGTTCAAAAATCGGCCTTATTAAATACGCCTCGAATAAGGTTCCTATCTTTGGATACCTAACTTCACCGATGGATTAGGATTCCTCGCCGCGGTGGATAATAGCCGAAATAATAATATTATTTATATAGATTGAATTTATATTTATAATATTATAGTTTTGTGATCATATAATATGTGATAATGTAATAATAATAATAATAATTTATTTCAAGAAATTGTACAATTAATTCAAAAAATTTGTCACCTGAACTAGGATAAACGTTTATCTCAGGTGTATGTGCTAATAGATACATTTACAAATATTTTCTGCTTCTTATATAAAATGAATAACTTACCAATTAATTTCGGTTAATTCGGTAAAATATAATATCATTAATTTACTTAAGATTTTAATTAGCTTAAGACAATCAGCAATTTTTCCGTATCATCGTATGACTAACTTTGTAACCATGCCCGAATTACATTTTTACAATCTGCCATTTTTAATGGATACATGTACAAAATTGCATTGACTTCATTATACAGAAAAGGCCCAAGGAATGTAAAAAATCTATGCATGAAAGAATGCCTTATTCTAATGTTACTTTCAATTACTTTATCTTTACGTCTTTTATCAGTGACCTCTCTTCTGTAGGGCAATTTTAAGTGCTGTTTTAGTAACGTACTCATAACTAATAACTGGCGCACTGAGAGGACATTATAGGATTTATATAAGAGATGGGACGGGAATAGGATAGGGCAAAATGTTGCGACTTTAATACAGCTCTTTGAGCGCGTTCCAGTGGTAGCAGTGCAGTTTTAGCTGCTCCTCCCCATGAGGTTATACAATAAAGTGAGAATTGATTGACATAATGCGAAATATACTTGCTTTACTACCTTAATATAAACAAAAGAGCAAATCTTTTTAAAAACAAACGTTAGTTTACGGACTCTATTGCAGAGGTGGTCTATGTGATTTTTAAATGTAAGTGTAGAATCTATAATTATTCCAAGGTATTTAATAGTTTTTGTATTAAAAATAACTCGGCAGTTACAATTAGACTCTGCGACTGAGCAACATTTATGTGCATAAATTTCTGGAATGGTTATATGCTGTGTTGAGCTTTTTAATAATGTACTTTTCAATTTTTGATATTTTTGTGTTAATTGTGTTATAATATATTTTTTATCTGTTATATATTATTATTAATTAATGTTGGCATGTTTAATAAAAAATATGAATTATTGTGTTTTTAATTTAAATTATCATTGTTTTAGAGTCTCCATTGCCACCTGATGCAAATTTTACGGAGGAGGAGCTATCAATACTTGATGATTTTGATTTGAATGATAGCAAGGATGTATTGCAGAATATCCCTTCTAACGCTTCCATATTATTCCCGAATGATGTTCTTTGGCCCTCGCCTTGTGTATCGAATGGTGACAATAGAACTCAAAAAGGAGATAGATCGCCATCAGTCATAGAAAACACTCCAGGGAATTCGCCCATCCGGAATAGCATTATTATAAATTATTGTGATATTGCTCCAGTACCATCACCGTATAATTTTTATGGC